CTCTTGCACACGTGAACTGCGTGGCTGCGAGTTCATGACTTCTTGTGTGTCCGGGAGACGGCCGCCTTTCATGGCCTTCTCTTCGACCATCATCTTTTCCTTCACTACTTTCTTTCTTCTCTCCCTCCCCTCTCTCTCTCATGACTCTGCTCTCTCTCTCTCTCTCTCTCCTCTCTCTCTCTTCTCTCTCTCTCTCTTCTCTCTCCTTTCATCTACAGCTCTTTTAGTTTCTTCTCTTGATGTCTCTCTCCCCTTTTCACGTTTTAACCTAATTTCTCTCTCTCCCGATGCTCTTCGGGTTTTCTTTTCTTTCTTTCTCAACTTTACTGTCTCTATTTTCTTGTCTCATTTCGCAGCTCTTTGCGTCTTCAACACACTCTTCATGTCTTCTCTTTCTTCGCCTTCAATCTTTGTTTCACTATATCTGTCCCTCTCTCTCCATCTTTCTCTTTTTTTTCTTCAACGTCAATAACGTTCTCACTTCTCCTTGGCGTCTCTCACTCATCTTTCTTTCTTTTCTCTCTTCAATCTCCATCTTCTTCACCTCTAAATTTATTAGACGTCCTTTCCAATAGAACTGGTTCCCTTAATGAATTCTCCTCTCTTTGCAAAAACCATTTTTCATCTGAACCTCTTTGACCCCCTTTGCATATATCGGCCGTTTCTTTCTGTATTCCTGTCCACTCCTCGTGGCGTTATTTCTTCGCTCTCTTTGCCTTCCTCTCTCCCTCACTCTCTTCGAACCCTATGTATGTCTGCCCTCTTTCACTTGTCTCTTTGTGTTTGTGTCTTTCTCCTTCTTCGTCTTTATGCATGTCCTCCTCACGAAGCTCCTATTTCTCTCATATTTTGTATCTTCTCATTGTCTCTCTCTTCTTTCATCTTCTCATTGTCCCTCTCTCTTCTTTCACCTTCTCATTGTCTCTCTCTTCTTGTCATCTTCTGCATTGTCTATTTTCTCCATTTGTATCTTCTCATTGTCTCTTTTTTTCGTCTTCTCTCTCTCTCTCTCTCTCTCCTACCCTTCCTCTTTCTCTTTCCCAGTGCGCACCAGACTGGTGAGAGTGTAGACTGCGTTGGAAGCGGCGGTGCGACGCGCGCTGTTGCAGTTCCTGGAGCCGCAGGAGGACGCGGGGAGGCGCGGGCGCTGGGGCTGGTGCAGCCGCTGCCCGGCGCGCAGCACGAGCTCTTCAGCACACACCGACTCCGCGGCTCCCTGTGAGTGCCCAGGTCCTGGCGCGCAGCCCTTGCCGGCTCACGGCATCCACTGGTATGGGGTTTCCACTCGCGGGACTTTCCAACACTTTTAGCATCGGTCGAAATTTCAGGTCGCTGTCTGTAAGGAGAAATTCTAGCGGCCGGGCTGCTCTGATCGGTGGTTTCTTCACTATCAACAACAGGCGAGC